TTTGTTTCAGGCTCAGTTCTTCCACACATGTAGATTTAGTCTGCGAGTAGAGTAAAGTCCCGGTTTAGATCTGGGATAGTCCTGGTTTAGTTCTCATTTCTTTTCTGAAGACGATGTGTTTTATTCAGTTTGATTTGCGGCTGAACTCTTCCTGATTTACAAAAGCTGCAATTCAATTTGATCTTGAATCCAGGATTAAAAAAAGGTTTATAATTAAAATGTTTTTATAGTTATTTGTTAAAAATGCCCAACTATCGAAATCAAAATTAAATCTGCTTGTGACATTACCCAATACACATTTGACCTTTTATTTGGACTTTATTCTGAAATAATTTTAATCTTTTCAAGGTTTTCTGAGCTGAGCCCGTGTTTACTTCAGACGCGTTAAAAGTTTTTGAAAAGTTTATGAACCTGAGCACATGTACTCACCAGTCTGGCACGAGCTCCAACGCAAAAATTACAAAACCATAAATCGGTTCCGGCTTAAAAATCGAACTGCGAAATAAATTAAAATAAACCTTTGTGAATGATCGTCGCTAAACATTTGTGCAGGTCCAACCCACACATCAGCGGCTAAAAGAGGAAATAGTGCACTCTCAAAATGTAAAAAAGGAAGTCGTACCAACTGTAAAGACCTGACACCCCCGTCTTTGCAGAAATGGAACAGTCTCACGGAGAGAAGTACCCACGACGGTGACAATGGCACTGCCCACACTTCCTCTAAAAAAAACAAAAACAAAAACTGTGATATTTGCATCAAGTTATGGTGAAGTAAACACGTAAAAGTCGGGCTGTCGAAAGCACTTGAGCTGTAGACTGTGTAAGACTGTGTACTCGTCTAAACAAAGTATTCAGTATCAAAATGAAGTCTGAAATGATAGTATCAGGAAGTATTAGTATTAGTATTAGTATTCGTAGCATCACAAGGTGGAACAGAGCGTTTTCAGTTTGAGACCTCAGCCTAAATCTGCAGCTTTGTGTGTAAACGAAACAAAAGACAAAATCTAAGTTGGACCCAGTTGGCGCTTTGCTTTGGGTTTACTCATGTCTGTTTTTATTAAATGATTCACGGTGTTACATTTTTCCTCCACCCACGCTCCGATTAGACTTCAGTGTATGCACTTAAATGGAAATGTCACCAACTGGACCAACGACTAAAGCAGAAATTAAATTTGTCAACTGGACAAAAGTTTATTTTGGTCGAATACGTTCTTCAGTTCTGGTCAGACGCTGGTGGACTCTGACTTAAATCTGTCTGAAGGAACAGTGACCACAGACTCAGTGCAGATCAACAGGCTGAGCTACAAACACAAACTGTAAACGTGTGTGTGTGTGTGTTAGTTTCAGAGGAGTTTCATTGTAGTTAGCTCCTATGAGGATATGAGGCAGTGCCCGCCACAAGAGGAACTGTCTGGACTGGACATGGGCGGCCTCGGGTAAACAGCGACGTCTGCTCATCCTACTCATGACGTAAACCTAGAGTGGCCAGATTTTCAAAATAAAAAATTGTGACATCCCTTGTTTGTGGAGGTTGGTAATAACAAAATTGTGAAATGAGCGTGCAGTAAAGGAAACCTGTCCTGCACTCTGCCCTAATGTGAGTCAGTACAGTCACATTTTCTTTGTGGTTTGGTGATTTTTAAGCAGCTTTTCTGTATTTTACTAAAACACATTACACATTATGTTTCTCTTTACTGTTGGCAAAGATCAGATTGGTCAAAAAGGAACACCTGGGACAGAGTATTTACCCTCTTCTGCTCCTGCTCCTCAACGTAGACCGTCTTTTATACAATGTTTTATAAAATCTAAACAAGTGATTCTTAACCTTAGGGCCAGTGCCCAAATTAAGGCCTGGACCACCTCCTTAGGGGCCCCACAATCAGTACAATATAATGCATTTGATATGAGATAGGGCCCCAGGTTACTTTGTTCACAAAAAGTCGCCCCACGAGATTGAAAAGGTTAAGAACCCCTGAACTAAATATATACAAAATATACAGTTAAAACTGACTCTCTGTCTGCACTTGTAAGTAGTTCATATAGTTGAATTCAAAATGTCTGAAAAATGCAAAAGAAAGCTCTTTGTGTTAGATTATGAAGAGTAGGAGGTAGGATTAAATAATTGTTTTTTCTTCCCACTCCTTTTTGGGCAATTTTATTTTAAATTTTTTCTATTATAATTTCACTTATGTTAAATGTTCCATTGTATAAGAATGTAAATCTTTACTTGCCCAAAATAAATACATTAAATAAATAAATAATCCTAACGCTCCTGACTCAGACCTGGTTTAGTTCTGGTGGGACTTAATAATAACAGCTAAAAACAAAAACACCAAACATGTAACGTACCTGTTTGAGTGAAATGACGGTGGATTCTTCATTCTGCCACGTTTTTGTTTTTTGTTTTTTTCTGTACGAAATAAAATAAATAAAAGAAACACGTGACACTTGTTTTGATCCCGGAGCGCACGTGAGCGGCGCGAGCTCCAGCTAACGGAACACTTAGCCACTTTAGCTTCATTAAAATGTCTAAATTAAAGCTTAAGAACGACACAAAAGTCATTTCTCACGTTAGTCATTTCTCACGCTCAGAGAAAACAGAGGCGGTGTTGGTGAAATGTTATAAATCTATAGTTATCATTAAATTACCGTAAAGTAATGAAATAAAACGACTTTTAATTTCACTATCGTTCAACGCAATCTTATCTCCCGCTTCTTCACGTGCGTCGTGCGTCAGGGGGTTACGTTTGATAAAAAATAAATAAATAAATAAAAAAATAATAATAATAATAATAATAATAATAAATAATAATAATAATAATAATAATAATAATAATATAATAATAATAATAATAATAATAATAAAAGCAGTAAAAATAAAAAGTCACACATTTACATTTATTTTAAAGCTACAGTATTTTATCTTTTGTTACTTATTTAGAATTTATTATTACCATTTATATTTTTTGTTATTATATTATATTGTGATGTGTGAGCTCCTGTGTCCAAATAATTTCCCTTGTGGATCAGTAAAGTTTGTTTAACTCCATGGAGGTACGTTTTATGCCATACTGTGGAAAATTTTAGCCAAGACAACATTTTCAAGTTGAAATAGGCCCTCATCCACATAACAAAGTCATGTAAGAGTAACTTAAAGGTCCTATATTATGCTAAATTGACTCTTTAAACCATGTTCTAATGTTCCCTCCTCAAAAACAGAGCTGGACTTGTGTTTTGTTTCATTCACACACATTTGAGCAGGGCTGAGCAATTATTTTTTCCATGAAGCCACATGAGAAACAGAAAATACTGTGGAGAAAACTCAATTTTGCATAATATTAATTGTATTTCTTTATAAAAAAAAAAAAATTTAAAAGCAGTAAATAACATTGTTTTAATGAGCTGATCAGACCGGTAAGTTTATATTGTGACTAAACAATGAATAGATCGGTAATTCCAGAGCTAAATGAATATAATGAAGATGTGCGGAGTTTAAAAACACAGTGGAGCAGCAATTCTTGAGTGCTTTCTGTTTGTGAGGAGGAAACGACATTAGAACAAAGGTCAGAAAATACTGTAATCTGGGCCTTTTAAAGAAAAACTATCAGGACGTAACATCTGATTTAAAACATGAAGTGATAGACAAAACAAAAATAAAATAATAATACACAAAATCTGGTATTTTCACATTTTCAAAGGACACACACAAAAATAAGACAAACAAAATCAGATCAGAAGGAGCTGCAAGAAACACAAATGTTCAAATCATTTCATATTGTCACATTATTTTCTATTTTATTTTGCATTTACATTTATATAATTATGCCTTATTTAACACCAGTCTCTTGCGTTTTTGTTTATTAATTTATTTATTATTACCATTTATATTTTTTACTCTGTTATTATAAAATATTGTGATGTGTTAAAAATAATTTCCCTTGTGGATCAGTAAAGTTTGTCTAAGTCTGTAAAACTTTTGTCACTTTAAACTTTTAAACTTCAAACTTTTACTTGAGTAAGAGTACAATTTAATAAAATAATAAAAATATTACTTAAGTAGGAGTTAAAGTGGGCTGCTAGAAAAGTTTCTCAAGTAAAAGTAAAAGTAATCACGTCTGATCATTCATAAAAGTTCAGAAAACATTCACCGAGTTAAAATGTGGTTTTATTGCGTCCCTGTTTTGTGTTAAAATGACATTGCGTTAAGATTTCTTGTAAATAAAAGGGTTTATTCAAAGTGCGTCAGCCTTTACAACACAACTGAGTCAAAGTCACTCTCACGTTTAATATTTTACAACCGTCTCCATCGTATTTACAAAGAAATGTACAAAAACGACAGAATCCTCCACAGCAGCGGCGGCGGCGGCAGGTTCTGTCCAGTCCAGAGCAGTGAGGAGCATTTCGGAAACCCAAACCGAAGACGTGTTTTTTGTTTTTTATCGCACTCGGAATTTGTAGAAGTCGCAGAGTCCTCGTGTGAAGTTCCAGCCGAGAGACACGGAGAGGACATAGACCAGGACGAGGAGAGCGAACGGATACAGGAGAACAACGGTGTTCCTCAGGAAAGGCAGCGCTGGGGAAGAGAGAAGAGAGAGAGAGAAGATCTTTAGGACAAATGTTAAACGTGAATTTGACAAGTTAAAACTACAAACTTCAACTAAACACCAGTATGTTTAAGGTCATACTGAAAATGTGACTTCTTTTTTTTCCTTTTTGGCCAGAAGTGCTGTCTTGTAGGTTTGTGGAACTTCTAGTTAATGTTTTTCAGTGTAAATGTGTGTGTAAATGTGTGTGTAAGTGTGTGTGTAAGTGTGTGTGTAAATGTGTGTGTAAATGTGTGTCGTATTCTCCAGCAGTTTCATAAATCTGCCCCATCACCAAATCTTCAAGCAACAAACTCCACAAAGGATAAACATTCTTTGACGCATTAGAGAACTGGGATCGTGCCTGTTTTTTTTCCAAAATAAGGCCCTATGTTCCCACATTATTAAATTGCATCAGATTTTATCCCCATTTCTGCCAAATTGGTCGTCATTTACACCCAAACTATTCTCCGGCAGCAGGTGACTCCAGATGTAATGTAGAGGTCATGGAGCAAAGGACCTGAGGTTGAAATGACTCTAAACCATCCCTTTAAATGTGGTATGAAAATAAAAATGACTTGACTTAAACCAGACATGTCAAACTCAGGCCCGGGGGCCAAATTAGGCCTATGATATAATTAGAGATCATATCAAATCTGTATTAGAGCTGCCGCCGCGCACAGATCGACTATAAAGACAATATTTATTTAAAATATTGTTATTATTTATATTCTTTTTGTTCTAGATTCAGTGTTTAAGCAAAACTATTATTAAACTTTTATTTGAATAAGAAAAGGTTTAACATTACAGATCTCAAAGATGTGGTTGACATTTTTCAATATTTAGTTTGGTCCAAGACTTAGTCCCAGTTTTTAATTTCAGCCTCTGTGAATTTGAGTTTGACTCTCCTGATTTAGAATTTCATTTTGAGAAAAATCTTAGAAATGAAGAAACATAGAGCTGATACAAAACTAATGTTATGGTCCTAGAGATGTGTCACATTTCAACTGCACAAATCTCTGTCTGTGCAAATATCCACATCATGAAACTGATTTTTAATTTTAATTGTAGATTGAGCCTGAGTGAACAAGTTCCTTCTGTTTTCTTCATGATCAGAACATGAGTTGAGTTTGTTGTGTGACTAATGCGTCGTCGTTGTTTTCTTTAAGTTTTGTTCTTTCTTCTCTTGATCGTTGTGGATAAATTGTTCATGTTAGAATGTTTTTCCTTTGTGGAGTTTGTTGGTTGAAGATTTGGTGATGGAGCAGATTTATGAAACTGCTGGAGAATATGACACACATTTACACACACATTTACACAGAAAAACATTACGCAGAAGTTCCACAAACCTACAGCGGGACACTTCAGGCTGTTTTGTTTATACTTTGCAGCTGATGTCATGGGGGTTGATGCTAACTGTAGGCACTGCTCTTCTTGTCTTGTTTTAACACAATCTGACCAGAAAGAACCGACTTATCTGAACTCCAACAGGTGACAGGATCAAGTCCCAACCTTAAACTTTTTGACAGTGTTTGCTAATGTGTTCTTCGCGTCAACACAGTAATTGCTGGACATTTAGTCACAAATATAAACGTAGAACACCCCCAGCTTGATGTCACAGCAGAGTATCAATGCGCAGAGGTAATTCAAAAATAACAGTTCTGAGAAGAATAATTCAGCTTTATTTAGTGGAATGAAAGTTTAAAGTCCTTCCTTGTGCCTAAACTGTTTCTGTATTTTAGGTGTTTTAGAGTTTTCCTGTTGATTCTGTCTGTGTTTTTGTGCTTTTCTTTTAACGTTTCCTCCACAAACTGATGTAAAACTGTGATAAATATTTAACACTAAAAAACCAAGTGAGAACGAGACAAACGTGAAAACCTGCTGGCGTTTTAATCGTGTGATAAAGTCTCACCGTTGTATCCTAAAAAGGTGATGTAAAGATAATATCCGATGGCTATGAGCCACAGCGTGTTCCCCGTGAAGTATCCCACGAACCAGTCCGAGTTTATCACCACCAGATCTGAAAAAACACACACAACGAGATTCACGGTTTTTAAAGAAATCTCCAAACTTCTGATCCGCAAAAGTTTCTCCTTCTCGTTATTTGTTTGAGATCGACTCCACAAACTTTTCAAATTTAGTCATATTACGATATTTTCTGAGTTCTAACGTTGTTTCCTCGTCACAAACAGACCTGGAGTTGTGTTTTGTTTCATTCACATGTTTAACACACAAATAACTGCACATTTAGTTCTCTGTTCCACCTTGTGATGTCATGTGGTGATACAGGAAGTGCTCCACTGATCCACAAGGGAAATTATTTAGATGCAGGAGCTCACAGCGTATCATAATATCAAATAAAAATGGTAAAATAAGTGTGTCAAGCTTTACCAAATTAAACATAATAGGAGCTGTTCACTTGGAAACTACCACTTCATGACATCACAAGGTGGAGCAGAGCGTTTTGAGCTTTGTAGATGTAAACAGACGAATAATAGAGTTATTCAAACATGTGAATGAAACAAAACACAACTCCAGGTCGGTGTGTAACGAGGAAACGACGTTAGAACATGATTTAAAGCTCAGAGTCAGTTTAGTGTAAAATAGAGCAGAGTAAAATATAGTACTGTAAAATAGAATAGTGTAAAACAGAGTAAAATATTGTAGTGTAAAAAGGTCAGTTTGGTGTCAAATCGGAGTTTTACACCACAAACATAAAGACGGAGCTGCTCACGGTTGATGAAGAGGAGCTGTAGAAAATGGAGGATGACTAAAAGTGGGTAGAAGGCGTTCAGGTGCACGTCGAACGCGTAGCCCCACTCCACGTCAAAGTCCCGACTCGGCTGCTTCAGGAGGTACTTATTTGTGACGAACCTGGAAACAGAAGCGTCATCGAGGTTTAAACAGGGAGGAGGGAATGTTTAAAGCTGCACTGTGTCACTTTTCTGGTGGAGGTCAGATCTGTGGAGAGGCGACCCCGCTCACAGTCAGAAGGTCAGTGTTTTTCTAGGGATTTTTGAGCTATAGAGCTGTTAAATGTCACACTGTGGAACATTCTAAAAAGTTACACAGCGCATCTTTAAGTGGCAATTCTAAAAAGTAGCAGTAGTAGCAGTAGTAGTACTCGTAGTACTTGTACTCACCACATGAGTGTAGATATGAGGAGTCCGACTCCGATACAGTCGACAAACACGACCCACAGCAGCAACTTCAGAGTCTCCACAAAACCCATGTCCAGAACCAGACCGAAGCCCAATGTGGACACTAGAGACACACAAGAGGACATATGAGGACACTGTGGACACTAGAGACACACAAGAGGACATATGAGGACACTGTGGACACTAGAGACACACAAGAGGACATATGAAGACACTGTGGACACTAGAGACACACAAGAGGACATATGAAGACACTGTGGACACTAGAGACACACAAGAGGACATATGAAGACACTGTGGACACTAGAGACACACAAGAGGACATATGAAGACACTGTGGACACTAGAGACACACAAGAGGACATATGAAGACACTGTGGACACTAGAGACACACATGAGGACATATGAAGACACTGTGGACACTAGAGACACACAAGAGGACATATGAAGACACTGTGGACACTAGAGACACACAAGAGGACATATGAGGACACTGTGGACACTAGAGACACACAAGAGGACATATGAAGACACTGTGGACACTAGAGACACACAAGAGGACATATGAAGACACTGTGGACACTAGAGACACACAAGAGGACATATGAGGACACTGTGGACACTAGAGACACACAAGAGGACATATGAGGACACTGTGGACACTAGAGACACACATGAGGACATATGAAGACACTGTGGTCACTAGAGACATATGAGGACGCATGAGGACACATGAAGACACATGAGGACATGTGAGGACACTGTGGACACTAGAGACACAAGAGGACATATCAGGACACATGAGGACCTATGAGGACACTAGAGAGACACGTGTCTTCCAGTCCACACCTTGTACTGAGTGATTCAGGTTAATTTAACAAACTGAAATTTCAGAAAAAAAAAAAACGACTTCAGAAACTTCTTCCTAAAGTTTCCTTAAATCAGAGTTTCTCAAACCAGGGGCTGGGGACCCTTTGTCAGTCTGAAAATGTCCCAAGGACCCTGTGGTTTTCTGCAGTGGCATCAGTTTAAACCACAGAAACACATTTGGATCAAATCTTTATCTCTCATAATCCTCATTTTATTATTATTATTTTATTTGAGCAGTCATTGACAACAGAAACACGTCTGGGACTGGACATCAGTTGTAGTTTGTCACGATCAATTCTTATTACCCCCCCCCCCCCCATGTGACTGTAAAGTATCAGTATCACACTTTAAATAGCGTGATGGTTTCACCGAGTGTGGTGTGAGTTTGCGGCGCTCACCGCAGAGCCACACGCTGAGCAGCACGAGGAAGGCGGGGTCGTCGCGCGCCCACTGGTCCTTGGTCTGTTTCCTGTAGTGGAAGTTTCTGTAGACCCGCTGAGGAGACGTGAACAGGTAGAACATCTGCCACAGGGCGAACTCAAAGTCCATCTGCCTGAAGTGAAGGAGCCTCCTCAGATACTTGTAACGCTTGGCCCCCGCCGTGTGCCTCGCCGCGTCACGAGAGCCCAGAGAGCCGTTAGAGCCGGAGGAGGACAGGGGCAGCATGGTGCTACAGGACACGAGCAAGAACAAGTCAAAACAAGAGTTTACGACAGGAATTTACACCCAGAGCCTTTTAACTGTGAGATAAGACATAATGAAGTAGGGATGCACTCTGTTCTGATACCGATGTCGATACTTTGGCTTCTGTCGATGTCCAAGATCAACCGATACTACGTCAGAGACAAACAGTGAACGGTAAAAACAGAATCCAAATGTGTTTTTCTCTTATTTATTTTTTTAATACATAACAACTTAGAAAAATATAATGAGTTTTTTTTGGGCCAGTATTGTTCAGTAAATCATCGTGTACCAATTTTATAAACGAACGGAGAACTTGGAACCGATATCCAGTCAATCTAAATGTCCAATATCTGCGCTGATATCAGGTATCAATATCACTGATACTGGCGCAAGATTTATTTATTTATTTATTTAATGAGACAGGGACAGCACACAACTTTTTCATGAACCTGAACAGGAGAGATGTTTGTACCAGGTTGTAGCACCAGTGATAATTTCCAGATTTCCAGATCAGATCGTCTTTGATTTGGGTTTGGTCCTAGAACACATCAAAACTGGGACTAAACTGGGACTAATATGAAAGTAACTGGACTAGACCAGAACTAGACTAAAAAAGGACCAAACTACACCGGCTTGTCAAAGTCTGATCCCGTCAGATCTCAGAAGCTCAGAGGCCTGGTCTGGTTAATTCTTGGATGGGAGACACTGGGAAAATCAGGAGCCACAGGGGAGCGCCAGAGAAAAAACTGTCATTGTGTCAGGGGTCGATAGTGCAGATTGGCAGCCTCACTTCCATCAATCTGCCCCAGAGCAGCTGTGGCTACAGTAGTGGCTTTACCATCACTGAGTGTGGAGAGAATAAATAAAGATCTGTAAATCGTCTCTGAGTGTCCAGAAAAGCGCCGTATAAAATTGATGCATGATAATTATTATTATTTTTATTCAAACCGAGTCTGAATCCAAACTAAACTGGATTCCAACCAGGACTCAACAGGGACAAGTGTGAACGCAGCCTTGGTTTGGTTCTGCTCTAGTCCAAAACCAAGTCCAGGTTTAAGTCCAGGTTGAAGTCTCAGTATAACCCTAATATTTAATCATCTTCAACTCCGTCTTCTCCTTTCTGTTGTCATATAAACCCTCTTCATTTAAAAACAGCATTAGTCGACTAAGACAAACTACAGCCCTCGTGTGAACATATAATTTTCCTAAAGACTGTTTTTTTAAAGACTGTATTTGACACACAATATTTTAACTATTTATTCGTATTATTATCTGTGCTGCTGTTGACCTGGACCTGAGTGCAGTGTTTCGTTTCTGTGTATTTTTTTATACTGAAATGACAAATAAATTCTGATCTTGATTCTGAAAGACGCTGCTTGAATCACATACTCACTATAAAAATTTAAAAAAATGTAAATACACGATAGATTCTCTGACAGTGAACTCTTATAACAAGTTTAAATGAGACACTCTGGACACACCTCCCTTTTGTTGACATAGATGCGGCCTGTTTACGTGAGAAAAGGTGAATCAGAGGAAAAACAAAGCAAATCAAAGCATTTTATTTCATGTTTTAAAACTAGAAACTCATAAACAGAAATGTCAGGTGAATCTGTCTGCAAAGTCTCTGTTTACATTCGCAAAAAACACAACATCATCTTCATTTTAGTCATTTTCTACAACACTGGAAAGAGAGATTTGCAGTTTAATTGGTAAACATATCTCAAATATTTAAAAAAGAGTAATTTAAGATGATTTAAGCGGTTTTTGTTGAGTAAATCCGGAGTTTTGTGGTCGTTATGTGGAGTAGCAGCCACTTTAGCCTGAAGCTAACACCAAAACAGAGCCACGAACTCGACTTTAATCGCCACTTTTCTCACTTGTGCCACTAAACTAAATAAACCGCGTGTCAGATTTGATGTCGTGGTTTGATACTGACCTGATTTAGCAGCACTTGGGAAGAGAAAACCGCCACTTCGGGCTTTTTTTTGGAGATATTCGCCGCGAGCTTCCGGGGGTGTCACAAAAAACGAACACGTACTGACTTCCGGTTTCTTCGCTGGCATCATGGGAAATGTAGTTTAAAAGCCAATATGACGCAAATTCGAGTTTTACACTGTATATTTTGTTCATTTCAATTTAAAAATCCCTGTATCACTCAAAATAAATTCTTCTCAGCTTTAATACGTTTTAATGTTGTTTCCTTTTCAAAAAAACACAGCTGGAGTGTTTTTTGTTTAATACACATATTTGATTAACTCTTGATTATAGCTCCAAATGCTCTGTTCCTCCTTGTGATGTCATAAAGTGGTAGTTTCTCAGTCTAAATGTGCAGGGTTTGTGTGTTAAACAAGTGTGAATGAAACAAAACACAAAAAAACAATAACAAAATAGAAAATAATGTGATAAAGGCCTTTAAACTTGTATTTTTTATGAAAGAATCACAACAGACCGGTGTAAAGACATAACATTTTATTCATATTTATAATCGTCTATTCAACAAAGCAGCTCCCGGCAGTAAATATACGCAACATTTAAATTATACACACCAGGAACACAGGATCGCGGAGGAGCGTTTGCAGTACTGTGTGGGATTTTGTACTGCGTGGGATTGCAGTACCGCGAGTATCGCGCATTCAAAGTACATGAAGTGTGTATTTTAAAACTCGTCTCTAACAAACGGATGGTTCTTCCACGGCGGCTGCTCCCTCGGTCACGGCTTTCACACATTTGGCCATGGTCTGGGAAGCACGAGAGATCGAGTCTGCGGGAAGAAAAAAAAAACACGAAGATTAAACACGGACCATTCAAATATTAAAAGCTGCACTGTGTAACTTTTCAACTGGGGGTCATTTATTCAATTTCAGGTGGTTTTAGAGTCAAAAATACTGGTCTGGTTTTGTCTCCGTGAAGATAAAAAGGTTTAACGCTTCATTAAATTACAATATCTTTTAATTTAATTCCTTTATTTAGACTTTTATTTAGCTTTTTTCCATAAACTGTCACTAAAAACTCTTTATAAATATTTAAACACAGATATTTACGGAAGCCGAGAGGGTCACAACAAACGCAAACGCCGCAACAAATACAAACGCCACAACACAAACCCAAATGCCACAACACATCAAAAAGCCACAACACATCAAAAAGCTACAACACAAACGCAAAAGCCGCAACACATTAAAAAGAAAAGCCACAACACATTAAAAAGCCCCAACAGAAGTGACCGCGGGACTCTATTTTCCGAAGGACCGATCAAGCGGCAAGTGAAGAAGAAGAACTACAACGTGAAAAGTAAAGGAACGGAGAAGTTGGAAACGTAAGTAAAAGTAATTTATTGTTTTATCATTATTCGTTTCACATTGTAGTTGTTCTTCTTCACTTGCCGCTTGATCGGTCCATCGGAAAATAGAGTCCCGCGGTCACTTCTGTTGTGGCTTTTTAATGTGTTGTGTCTTTTTAATGTGTTGTGTCTTTTTAATGTGTTGTGTCTTTTTAATGTGTTGTGTTTAATGTGTTGTGTCTTTTTAATGTGTTGTGGCTTTTTAATGTGTTGTGGGCTTGTGGCATTTGCGTTTGTGTTGTGGCGTTTGCATTAAAATTGAGTCCCGAGGTCATTTTCGTTGTGGCTTTTTTTGGTTTGTTGTGGCTTTTTGTTGTGTTGTCGCATTTGTATTTGTTTTGCGGCGTTTGCGTTTGTTGTGACCCTCTCGGCTTCCGTAGATCCTGTCCCGTTAAACCAAGTCAGGTTTAGTAAAACAAACAGTTTTTCGTCTCAGTCGTCTTGTGTTTTGCGCTGTACCTGTCATGTAGAAATCTTTGACTGAGACCTGAGGAGGAACCAGAGGAGCCGAGATCAAGTCCTGTTTCACCGTCTGTGAGAGAAAAACAAAAAAATAAAACAGTTTAAATCGTCGTCTGTGCCAGAAAGAAATCTCCAAACTTCTGCTCCACAAATGTTTCTCCTTCTCGTTCTTTGTTTGGGATCAGCTCCACAAACCTGTCAGATTAAATTTACGGTTTAAAATCCTCATGTCTTTGGGGTTGAACTGTGAATAAAATAATTTGTCTTTTGTTTATTTCTCCTGACAAAAAAGAGGCAGAATTTTTGACAGTTTTTGTTTCATGTGGAAAGACCCAGAAATTACAGAAATCTGAACCAAAAACACCCGAGGATTCAGATGTGCCTCCTGGTTAAACAAGGACTGAGCCAAGACTGAACCAGGGAGTGAATAAATCTGCTTTCTGACAGTGTGTGGGCAGGTGCGTCTGTGGGCAGGTGCGTCTGTGGGCAGGTGCGTCTGTGGGCAGGTGCGTCTGTGGGCAGGTGCGTCTGTGGGCAGGTGCGTCTGTGGGCAGGTGCGGTCTCACCTGTGCGAGCTCGTTGGCCTGTCTGAAGTAGTTTGCTTCTTCCACGTCGTCGTAGCGGACGAGGTTCGGAGAGACTTCGGAGAGTCGGGTCCTGACCTCGTCCAGAGTGTCGTAGGGCAGAGGGACTCCGGCCAACTGCACGACGACAACAGACACACATGTGAGCGCTTCTCTCAGACGGAAAACAAACACTCTGATCCACCCTGTGATGTCATGTGGTAATACAGAAAATGCTCCACTGTGTTTTTAAACTCTATACACTCTCAACCCCCTTCCAAGTCGCTCGCCAAGGAGTTTCTGAATTACTTTTATCGTCCTGAATGAGTAAAATTTGATAAAATAAATTCCTTTTACCATTGTACCAACAATAAATGGATAATGGTTTATGGTTTATAGGTTGTCTAAGTCTCTGTTCAGTCTGCAGCCTGAAGTGACCCAAATCTGATTTTTTGGCCCCTATGTTCCTGTATCTGATCTTTTAATGAACCACACAGATCCGATTTTTTCAAATGTGACCCAGGACACTTGGATCTGTGCTCCTGAAACTGACACAGATCTGATCTTTGGACATGTGACTTGAGTCTGAACGTCCAGGTCTCGTTCATGCACCGACACGTCAGGATCAGAGTCTCGTGGAGGGAAAGTGACGTTACAGACTTTATTTATATTTGGGGGATCGATGTGTTCAGGACAAACTGGAGGAGTTTCATCAGAACCAGGCGGTTTTTGAAATGATTGCCGAAAAAATGTCCGAGCGCGGCTATAGACGTCCTGACTATAACGTCAACGAAAAGTACAGAGCCTGCGAGAAAATACAAGGAGACTAAAGACTCAAATAAACGAAGCGGCCGGGGACGTGTAACCTGAACATTTTACCAACAACTGGACCAAGCCCAGCGTTTAGACTACGGACATCATCCTGTCCTCCAGTGCTCATGCGGGACAGTTTTGGGGCGTTTAATGTTCACACTGGAAATCACACACAAGTCACATTTAACTGGAAATGTGAACGACCTCACACAAAAAAAAAAATCAGATTTCACAAAAAAATTCAAATTGAGCGTTAAACCCTGCAGTCTGAACATGGTCTGTATTGTTGTAATTGCGCCTTTTCTTTCTTTTCTTTCCACGTTCTTTTCTCTTTCAGTCTCTGTGTCAGTGTCAGTAAAACAGAGGAACTTAAGGACTTTGCTGATCTCGTGTAAATGTGCTGCAAGTAACACAGAGGTGGAGCGGTAAATGACCACACGTCCCCAGGTTGAACTTATCCCGTGTGAATAGGTCTTTAAACGTTCAGAGAGTCTCTCAAGTATCTCTTATAAATGCACATTTTATAGTGTTGAATATTTTGAATTTGAATAAAAATAATAATTGTGAGCGTTTACACATATTTTCCATAATCACACGTGTGCACAGACCTCGGACACGGCTCTGATGATTCTCCAGTCCTCGCGCGCCATCCCCGGAGGAGTGACCGCCACCTTGGTGTGCTGACTCCGCCCCTCCGTGTTCACGTAGGTGGCGTTCTTCTCCGTGTACGCGGCGCCGGGGAGGATGATGTCGGCCATGGGAGCTCCGACGTCGCCGTGGTGACCTGGAAAACAGAGGGATCGCACAGACATAAGGACACAAGGGAATAAAGAAAGTTTGACTATTAAATGTGATAGTGTTCGTGTTACCCTGGTATATGACGAGGCAGTTCTTGGGCAGGTCTGCTCTGGTCACGCAGCCTCCGTCTGCTCCCAACAGGAACAGGACTTGAGGAGGGTTCTGACGGATCAGATCTACGCCGGGTCTGTACCCCAGGTCCAGAGCCGCCACCTGACTCGCCACCCTGACGAGAAAAACACACGCACACACACACACACACAACGCCGTCAAAACGAAACCCGAAATACCACAGAAATAATCAGATTTAAAAGAAACCCATTATGGTTTTCATGTGGTTTCTTTTGTGAAAAGGTTTTAGATCAATATTAAGATTTAAAATGTCACAGTTAGAAAAGAACGATCCACAGAGGTCAGAGCTCAGACACAGACAGACTATTGATCGGGTTTATATGCAGGAATCAAAATACGACTAGTACAAAGAATGATGAGGGAACACAGTTAGAAAAAGTTGTAGTACATGTCTCGTAGTACAGTAGTACCCTTGTTACCCGTGCAGTACTTTGTTGTATTGTAGTACTCGTAGTATAGTAGTACTCTTGTTACCTGTGCAGTACTTTGTTGTATTGTAGTACTCTTGTTACCTGTGCAGTACGTTGAGCACCTTCCAGCCTTCGTCCACGCCGCTGCTCGCTCTGGCGTTCTGAGCGATGGTCGACACGGTGCTCAAAATGGCCGCCCCGTCCTCCCTCTGCAGAGCTGAGCTGCCGACGACGACCATGGGACGCTTCGCTGAGGAGAGGACCTGAAAGAAGACGACAATGACATGAGGACCTGAAAGAAGACGAAAAACAACACGATGACCTGAAAGAAGACGACGACGACACAACTTGAGGACCTGAAAGAAAACGACAACAACACGATGACCTGAAAGAAGACGACGACGACGACAACTTGAGGACCTGAAAGAAAACGACAACAACACGATGACCTGAAAGAAGACAACGACAACAACAACATGAGAACCTGAAAGAAGACGACAACGACATGAGAACCTGAAGAAAGACAACAACCCGAAGACTTGAAAAAAGCCGATAAACTGAGGACCTGAAAGAAGACGACAACATGAAGAAAGGCCCATCTAAATACAAAAGAACAGTTCGTGAACCACCAACCAGAAAAGTTACATAGTGCGACTTTAAAGATGAGGGACCCACATGAACATACACACTTCAAAAAGCTTCAGACTGCATTTTTCATTCACTCCACACTCTGGTGGTGTCATGTTTTTATATATTTATGGGGAATTGTCACGTGAGAGCATGGGTGACGTAGGCTTATGGGCGGAGCTGTAAGGAGGGTTTGAAAAGGGCCATGGCGAGATCTCTAGATTACTCAAACATGCATGGATGATTCTAAACGTTATAAATGTGAAAAAGCTCCAAAGGTGTGACTGACGGCGGCGTGTGCTCTGACCTGAGAGAACGGGTGCGTCCCGTTGGCCAGCTCCTTCAGCACCGCAGTCTCCGCCCCCAAATGATCGTACGAATAACTCAGGTCCACACCGTGTCCGACCAGCGCCACCTGCAGCTCGTTATGAAGCCAGCTGAAACGAGAGACAAACGAGAAGATTAACCTCGATCATACTCTTTAAACTCACTCTCCTCCTCTGCTCCTTCTTACCTCTTTCTAATTCTGGCGTTGAAAAGTGGAGCCTCGTATCTGGGGTTTGTCCCCACGAGCAGGAGGACGTCGCTCTCCTCGATCCCGGCGATGGTGCTGTTCAGGAGGTAGTTTGAACGCAGGTCAGTCCTACAGAGAGAGAAAAGAGACGGGTTAACCACTCTGCCACAGTGACACGGGGAGAACGTGCAGTCAGAGCTCAGCCTCACCCTGCTCCTGCCGTGGGGAACAGCTCCTCCGTGCACAGGTTCTCTGAGTCCAGCCGATGGAGCAGATCTCTGAGGGAAACCAGAGCTTCAGCGTCGACCATCCCCCCGACCACAGCGGCCACCTGCCCACTCTGAACGCCCTGCAGCTGAAAAACACACAACACAACACCGGGTCAAAACACAACACCGGGTCAAAACACAACACCGGGTCAAACACAGCTGCAGAACACAAAAACAGGACAAAACAGACCGACAGAAACAGAGTAGTTGTGAGAGACTTACAGCTCCTGCGACTCTGGTGAGCGCGTCCTCCCACGTGGTCGGACTCAGCTGCCCAGACTCGTCCTTGACCATTGGCTGGGTCAAACGCTGCCTCTTCAAACCGTCGTACGCAAACCTGAAACAACATGGAAACACATTTAACTCCCATAGTTTGTGTAAGGTCCAAACATTTGTGAAGACAGATTGATGCTCTGCGCACCTTGGTCCACTTTTTAACCCTCACACTCTCCTCGGGGTCACATTGACCCAAAGATTTTTTTTTTCCTTCCCGCTCTCTTGGGGCAGGTCAATCAGACCCAAAAATTAATTTTCTCGCCTGGCCAGAATTTATTTGAAAATGTAATTTTTGGGTCTGATTGACCCACCCAAAGAGAGTGGGAAAGAAAAAAAAATTTTTTTATTTGTATTAAGAGAGTTTTGTATTAAGAATAGGGATTAATCTACAGACAAACTCACAACAAAACAAAACAAAACAAACGGCTCACGTAGAGCGGGATAATATGAACATTTTAAGACCAAAATGAGGAGTCTGACAGCAAGCAGTTACAGAGAAAAGGGCCAGAAAGTGAATTAATCAGTCCTGTACCTGGTCTTGTCTGAGATCCACTCCTCGTTGATTTCTTCGTTGAGTCGTGGCATGACCCTCATCACCTCTCCAGCTCTGGTGCTCACGATGATGTTTGAGCCCACGGCGTCCAGAACGTCGATCGACTCCGTTTTCCTTCAAAATAAAAGCACAAAGTATTAAAAACGAGAATAAACTGAAGTGTTGAACTGCAGTCTTCCAAGTTTAAAGTTCTATCTGCATTTGTTTCACTGGGACACAATTCCACAAACATATTGACACACGGGGAGGACGTGTGGGTCAGTACCGGGTCTCCCAGGGCCGCGCGGTGAAGGCGTAGGGTTTGGAGGTGAGCGCGCCCACAGGACAAACATCGATGACGTTTCCCGATAATTCAGACATGAACATTTTCTCCACGTAGGTTCCGATCTGGAGGTTGTTCCCGCGGCCCGTGGTGCCCAGGTCCTCCACGCCGGCGATCTCACTGGCAAAACTGGAAGGGGAAAACACAATACTCAGGTTTTATTCTGACGAAAACTGAATTTAAAGCTGCACCGTGTAACTTTTTGGTTGTTTCTATGAAAATCTCACTGCTCTTTTTTTTTTATTGGTGTAGACGTGAGAATGTGTCGATGTTTATTCATTTTTACTGCTACAGATTTGCTTTATCGAAGTTTCGTTGTGTTTGTACAATGAGAATAAATCTAAATCTAATCTGAATCTGTCTGGAATGTTCCACAGTGTGACTTTAAACGGCTCCACTTTACATTTATTCAGTTACAGGTGGTTTTATCGCTCAAAAACATCTAGAAATCCAGACATTCTGACTGTGAGCGGGTCTGGTTTGTTCTCCATGAAGACAGAAAGGTTTAATGCCAAACTGTGAAATATTCAGGACGAAGCGTTTGATGGATCTTCCACCAGAAAAGTTACACAATGGAGCTTTAAATGTCCCATAATCCTCTGCTCTCCCCTCTGTTCCAATGTCGTTTCCACGTCACAAACACAAACAGACCTGGAGTCGTGTTTTGATTCATTCTCACATGTTTAACACACAAACCAAACTGCACATTTACACTGAGTTCTTCTCTTAAACAGAAAAAAACACTCTGTTCCACCTCGTGATGTCATCATGTGGTAATATGGGAAGAAGTGCTCCAATGTGTTTTTAAACTCCACACACCTTCACTAGAATCATCTGGATCATTTCAGCGCTGGAGTTGCCTGATCTCGACTGAACTAAAGGGAAAAAGGAGCTGTTCACTTGAAAACTACCACTTCATGACATCACAAGGTGGAACAGAGCGTTTGAAGATGTAGACAGACAAATAATAAAGAGTTACTCAAACATGTGAATGAAACAAAACACAACTCCAGCTCTGTAGGTCCCGGTTTAGTCCCTTGATTTGATCCTGGTCCTAGTCTCGGTTCAATCCTGGTCTAGTCCTGGTTCGGTCCTAGTTTTTGTCTAGTCCTGGTCTAGTCCTGGTCTAGTCCTGGTCTAGTCCTGGTCTAGTCCTGGTCTAGTCCTGGTCTAGTCCTGGTCTACTCCTGGTCTACTCCTGGTCTACTCCTGGTCTACTCCTGGTTACTCCTGGTTTAGTCCTGGTTTAGTCCTGGTTTAGTCCTGGTCTAGTCCTGGTCCAGTCCAGGTCCTGGTTCTGACCGGACACAGCGCGTGCACTGGATACATCTGGTCATGATGGTTTTGATGAGAGGTCCGATGTTTTTATCTTCGACGGCTCTTTTCCCTTCAGTGAATCGACTTCGGTCTGAACCAAACTGCATCGACTGGTCCTGAAAAACACAGAAACAAAACACGATCAAACAAACTACAACAAAACAAAATAAGATCATCGGCTGATCCTGAAACACCAAAACAAAAAACACTTAAACAAACTGTATCAAAATAAAACACTATAAACCAAACTGCATCGACTGGTCCTGAAAAACACCACAAAACTCACAAACTAAACATTAAAAATATATCTATACAACAACGGATAATTAGGCAAATAAAAACTAAAGACCAGAGCTTTATGTGGCAAAATTTAAAGTTTAAAGTATCAGAATCAAACAAATTTATGAATGAATCTGTCAAATTCACTTTTTAAATCTGCATTTTACTTGTTATATTCTCCGTTCTTCAGGCTAAAAAATTACAAACTATTACATAAATTCTTTGTTTTGTTTGTGCTGTTAATATTTTACTTTATGGGTTAATATTTTTAAAGTTATTATTTACTTATTTTTATGATTACTTTACGTCATTTCCGGCCAGAACTGACGTAATGTAATCAACAAAAAGGCACAAACGACTGACGTAGTTTTTGTGTAGATTTGCGTTTGATGGGACCAACTTCACACAGGTCGGTTTTAGACTTCAGTATTTTCAAAATTTCTGCATTTATTTGGACAATAATGTGTTTTAAAATTCTCAGTGATCAGCAGAAATAATCATTGACTAGTTGACCACAAAAACATATTCAGTTGGAGCCATAATTCTGATACAGGTATTGGATATTGGAACTGAGTATCGACATCAGTCGATACAGAAACTGGAACAGATATATGGCCGATCCTGGCTGCGGTACATGCAGGAGATGCAGAAACACGTGTCGTGTTGTGTTGTGTCATGTCGTGTTTTGTCGTACCTGCAGGTCACACTCTCCTCCCTGGTCACAGATGGGACAGTCCAGAGGATGATTGGCCAAGAGAAACTCCATCACCCCCTCGCTGAAAATAACACAGTGTTAATATTTCAGAATCAAAATGTTTTTGTTTTTTATTTGAGAGTTGTATTCGTACCGGGCTTTACGTGTTTTATCTGAGTTTGTGAGAATGTTCCATCCCTTCATCACCGGCATCGCACAGGCCGCCACAGGCTACACACAAACAAAAACACACAACACAACGACACATTTCACTCAAATATACTGAAAACTCAAATACACAATATGTGTAGTTTGTACAAATATGTGGTTGAACAAGTGTGTGTGTTTGTACAGTTGTGTACAGTTGTGTGTTTGTACAGTTGTGTGTTTGTACAGTTGTGCGTTTGTACAGTTTGTGCAGTTGTGTTGTACAGTTGTGCGTTTGTACAGTTGTGTGTTTGTACAGTTGTTGCGTTGTGTTTGTACAGTTGTGCGTTTGTACAGTTGTGCGTTTGTACAGTTGTGCGTTTGTACAGTTGTGCGTTTGTACAGTTGTGCGTTTGTACAGTTGTGCGTTTGTACAGTTGTGCGTTTACCTTTGGCGCCTTCTCGATCTCCACCAAACACATGCGGCAGTTTCCGGCCACAGACAGACGCTCGTGGTAACAGAACCGAGGAATCTGGACTCCTGCTTTTTCACACGCCTAAAAACAAACATGAAGAATTATGAGGATCAAAATGACACTTCTGCTTTACACACTAATATACTGTGTACTTATTCTAGTGTTTTTGCATGTGTGAAGGTTCAGGTGCATCAGACAAGTGCACTCAGACTTTATTCTTCCTTTATACAGGATTTTGTTGGTTTGAAATGTGTTTTATAATGAGGAGGAAACCGTCACCTGCAGCACTGTGGTTCCCAGGCGCCACCTCCACAGGTTTCCCGTCCACAAACACCTCGACCAGAGAACTGGCCGACCGCACAGACGCCCGCACTGAACACACACACAAGACACAGGTTTAAGTTACACTGTTTTACACCAGAGTGAGTTTAGATTTTAGAATACAGAGGTGTAAGTCTCTGAGTTTATGGGACAGACTCACCGGAGCTGCTCGGGGTCCGGCTGCTCGTGGCGGCTCCGGCCAGAGCTCGGCCCAGAGTCGGCAACCGCAACATGACGCTAAAAAGAGAGAGAAGGAGTCAGATACAGTTTACACAGATGCACAAAAAGAGAAATACTTTAATAATAACAATAGGCAGATATTAGACACTTAAAAAAAACGTATTATATTTGTTATATCCAAAACAGTTTGACAAAAGCTTAGACGACTTGTTTTTCTCTCACCAATCTTTATTAAATTAACTTAAAGTGCATATGACAGGTTAGACTCGTTTATGAAAACATCGTCAACGTGATTAATTTGAAGATTTTACTGAAAATTTTATCACTTTCTTTTTACTTTTGGTGAAGTTTATTATTTTACTTTTCTGGTTGGACGTGGGCAGAGAGTAATTCCATAACTGTTTCCGAGCAATCATAACATAAACAAAGGCCAAAACTCATCTAATTTAGTTCTGATTAGAAATAAATAAATGAAAACACCTTTATTTAGTTAAATGGAGGTTTTAAGTGTTTTCTTGTTGATGACATAAGCAGAAATTTCCCCACAAACTGCCACTTATGATGTAAAACTATGAAAAATATTGAACACGGGGAATATCCACAAAACCAAGTCATAATTAGACAAATGTATTAATCTGACAAAGCAGTTTACACTTTTTCGTTCACCATAGTGTAACTGTGTCTTTGGTTTAGCATCACGTGAAC